GAAGTCCACACATCTTCAAGCGGCCAAGGTTGAGAAACACTGCTCTAATGGGTGGTTCCTGATGTAGGCTCCTTACATTATCAGAAAATCCCATGTTAATTAATTTTATTGGTTTATTTAGCAAATTTATATGGCTTCCCAGCTTAAGCAACTAACTCTAGGTCGTAAACAAACAAAAAAGACGAAAGGTAATAAAAACAGTTGATTAAAAGTATAATCAAGACACCTTTAACAATTTACTAAAAGATAAATAGGAAACACGTATAACCACTCCACTAAGATCCTGCCCGCAACATCGAAGAAGAGCCACGTCTTCAGGGCCTTTTGAAAGACCAGCAGGATCGGGGTCATCCAAATCTCAGGGGGTGGCTGTTCCATAGAGCAGACGTCGTGGCAAAGCAGGCACCCTTCCTAGAACCCACCAGGTGGCATTGCTTTACCAAGGAGACCCAGAGCACGCTCACCTTGCTGCCTCTAGTGGGTCAGAACAAAACCCCTGAGACAGGCGGTCCCACAATTAACCGGGCCCCATGCCTTGCAGGGCTTTAAAGGTGACAGCCAGGATCTTGAATGGTACCTGGAAGCTGCCTAGAAGCCAGTGCAGCTCGCACAGCTGTGGCATTACCTGGGCATTCTGTGGTGCACCCAGAACTGCAGATGCCACTACATTCTGGACAGCTGAAGCTTCTGAATGCTTTTCAAGGGAAGCCCCACATAGAGAGTGCTGCTATAGTTGAACTGGGAAATAACTAAGTCATGAGTGACCCTGAGCAGTGTCTCGCAAGCTAGGAATGGATGTAACTGGTGCACAAGATAGATCTGTGCGGAGGCCCTCTTGGCCATGACTGCCACCTGCTCCTTGAACACGAATTGTGAGTCCAGGAGGACTCCCAGAGTGTGCGCCAACCCTGTCTGGGGGAGTGTTACCCCCGCCGGGGTTAATTATGGAAGATCTCCAGATTGGGGGGGAAGTTGCTAAAACCCATAGCCACTCAGTCTTGCTAGAGTTGAGTTGAAGCCTGTTCTTCTTCATCCAGACATGTACAGCCTCCAGGCACTGGGAAAGAATCTCAGTGGGATCACTTGGACAGGCTGGGGTGGGATGTACAACTGACTATCATTAACATGCTGATAATACTTCACCCTGTGCTGATGGATGACCTCTCCCGGCAGCTTTTTGTAAAGGTTAAATAGGAGCAAGGAGAAAGTTGAGTCCTGAAGCACCCTGCAGAGGCCTTGAGATAGACCTCTTCCCCTCTACCAGTATCAATTAGAACTGGCTGAAGAGGAGGGAGAACTACTGAAGAACCATGCTTCCCAATCCCAACCAGTCCAGAAGGATATAATGATTGATGGTATTGAAGGCTGCCAAAATATCAAAGAGAGCTAGGACAAATCCTCACTGCTGTTCCAAGCCTGCCAAAAATTGTCTATGTAGGTAATCCATTTCCTCCAGAGTCTTTTGGAGTTGAAAACCTACCAGCTTCTTCACAACCTTCCCAAGAAAGGAAAGATTGGAGACCAGATGTCCCTGTTGGATCCAGTGATGGCTTCTTGAGGAAGGGGTGGACTACAGCTTCCTTTAAGGCAGGCAGAGCCATCCGCTTCCTCAAAGAAGCATTCATCACCACTTCCAGCTGCATGTCACCTCCCAGGAGGCCTTCACCAACAAGAAGGGATGTGGATCAAAAACACAGGTGGCAGGACACAGTGCCCCAAGGACCCTGCCCACTTGCTCAGAACCAGCAAGTTCAAACTCTTCCCTGGAAACCAAGCAAGAATGAGCCTTAGTCAATTCCTTAGGACTTGCACAGCCAAAATCCAACTCCGAACGAATATTAGTGCTTTATCTGACAGATGCCTAGAACAACCCTTACAATGATTGTGCAAGAATTCCCCCAGACTCTCCTTACCCAGGAGGAACTGAGTCGCCCAAAACAGAGTCACCATCTGGCTATCCACAGATGCAATAAAGCTGGAGAAATAATTACATTTCGCCACTCTTATCACCACAAGGTAATCCTTAATAAAGATTCTTGCCTGTTCTGGCTTGGACTTGCTCTTTGTCTTCCTCCAGTGGTGCTCCAGGTGTGTCTCTTATGCCAGGATATCTCCAATTCTGGGAGTTGAAGTCCACACATCTTCAAGTCGCCAAGGTTGAGGAACCCTGTCTTATGCCATTAAATCTTCTGGAGTTCCCCTCAGAACTAGGGAGTCCATGCCCTCAGAGCATCTGCACAGATGCAATCCGATCCAAGGCTACCATCATGTGCTTATTCCATGCGGTGACTAAGGCCTTGGTCAAGCTGGGTACCAGAGCTTCAGTGACTACCCCAAGTTCCCTCTGGAAACCCATTCGGTCCATCAGGTGCCTGGGGCAGAGTGCTTGAATTGGTCTTCCCTCCCTGTTTCTAGGGCTAGTCATTCAGCCATTGTAAGATTTATTTATTTCCTTCCTTCCTTCTTTCCATCCTAGGCTTATAGGCTGCACAAATCAAAATAGATTCTGAGCGGTATATGTCCCCAATACACAACTGGATAACAACAGATCTATAAAAATATACAATCCTTTATTACCCACACACTGATAGCACAATTCACATCTAAGCCTTCCCTAGCAAAGAACAGATAGTATATTAAATTTCAGAGGAACACTGAAAAAAACGAATTGTTTATAGCTTTTTGAAAATTCAGGAGCACGGGGGTCTGATCTAATCTCTGAGAAGGTCCTGTTCTCTGAACCCTGTAGATGTGGGAAATTCCCCTATGGGAAATGAACCTGGAGAGAGCCTTCTGTTCCTCATCTGAGTGGATGAGTTGCAACCACAAGGTTATGGTTCCCACCCTGGGGGAATGAAGAACTCTCTCTGACTTCCAGCCACAGTACTGTAACTTTTTGACCATTTCAGGTTCTCTTCCTGAAGTCCCGTGAACGAAAGCCCAACGTGGCCATTTTGCTCACCAGCTGCATGGATGGGTTCCTGTATGCCTGGTCCGTGGGAAACAAAGGAGGTCTGATGGGCAAATTCCGAGCCACGCACAGCACTGCCCTGGACACAGTTGTCAGCACCATGTCCACAGATGACAAGGACTTGATCCTCTTAACTGGAGATTCCTTGGGTTACATCAAGGTCAGTATCTCTTCCTTCCTTCCTTCCTTCCTTCCTTCCTTCCTTCCTTCCTTCCTTCCT